TCAGTGTGTGCAGTAGAAATATGGCCAGGCAGTGTGTGCAGTAGAAATATAGCCAGGCAGTGTGTTCAGTAGAAATATGGCCAGTCAGTGTGTTCAGTAGAAATATGGCCAGTCAGTGTGTTCAGTAGAAATATGGCCAGTCAGTGTGTGCAGTAGAAATATGGCCAGGCAGTGTGTGCAGTAGAAATATGGCCAGGCAGTGTGTGCAGTAGAAATATGGCCAGGCAGTGTGTGCAGTAGAAATATGGCCAGGCAGTGTGTGCAGTAGAAATATGGCCAGGCAGTGTGTGCAGTAGAAATATGGCCAGGCAGTGTGTGCAGTAGAAATATGGCCAGTCAGTGTGTGCAGTAGAAATATGGCCAGGCAGTGTGTGCAGTAGAAATATGGACAGTCAGTGTGTGCAGTAGACATATGGACAGTCACATAGTCTATATGGGGTGCGTTTTATTATATCGCCCTGATTATATAGCATGGCAGTGAAGAGAAAGACTTTGATATCATCAAGAAATGCATTTATTATTATTAAGGAGATAGTATACTTGCCAGAAGACAAAAAACTACCAAGAATAGACATCATTCCAAGAGGGTCCCCAGTAGCTGGGAGAGGAGCTAGTTTAGACAAGAAATGTACATTATCCTTATAAAAAAGGGCATTTTTAGAGATAGATTAAAACAAGTTTCAGAACCAAGTTACCCATCAAATCTCTCAAACAAGCAGTTTGTCGGCTGAGATAGCTCCGCTGTTAGCAATGCACATTTCAATTAAAGAACAGAAGATATCATTAGAAAATGAACAATATGCATAGTATCAATGCAATGGGACTTGCTGTTTTCAACAAGAATTCAAAAATATAATTTTTAACCATAAATGATTGTGGTTTTTAACAAGAAGAAAATATCACTTTTTACCAAAAATGACAAACATATTCATCAAAATTAGAGAACTAAAGATATCATCATAAAATGAACAAATTTGAGAGAGATTCACATGTAGTACCTATATATGTAATATCAAAGCAATTGGACTTGTGGTTTTTAACAAGAAGTCGAAAATATCACTTTTTACCAAAAATGACAAAATTATTCACCAAAATTAGAAAATTAAAGATATCATTACAAAATGAACAAATCTGAGAGAGATTCACATGTAGTACCTATATATGTAATATCAAAGCAATTGGACTTACGGTTTTTAACAAGAAATTGAAAATATCACTTTTTATCAAAAATGACAAAAATATTCACCAAAATTAGAAAATTGAAGATATCATTACAAAATGAACAAATCTGAGAGAGATTCACATGTAGTACCTATATATGTAATATCAAAGCAATTGGACTTGTGGTTTTTAACAAAAAGTCAAAAATATCACTTTTTAACAAAAATGACAAAAATATTCACCAAAATTAGAAAATTAAAGATATCATTACAAAATGAACAAATCTGAGAGAGATTCACATGTAGTACCTATATATGTAATATCAAAGCAATTGGACTTACGGTTTTTAACAAGAAGTCGAAAATATCACTTTTTACCAAAAATGACAAAAATATTCACCAAAGTTAAAGAATTGAAGATATCATTACAAAATGGACAAATCTGAGAGAGATACGCATGTAGTACCTATATATGTAATATCAAAGCAATTGGACTTGCAGTTTTTAACAAGAAGTCGAAAATATCACTTTTTACCAAAAATGACAAAAATATTCACCAAAATTAGAGAATTGAAGATATCATTACAAAATGAAAAAATCTGAGAGAGATACACATGTAGTACCTATATATGTAATATCAAAGCAATTGGACTTGCGGTTTTTAACAAGAAGTCGAAAATATCACTTTTTACCAAAAATTACAAAAAAATTCACCAAAATTAGAGAATTGAAGATATGATCATGAAATGAACAAATCTGAGAGAGGTTTACCCAAGGTACATATACACCAAGTATCAAAGCATTCAGGCTTGTAGTTTTCAAGAAGAAGTCAAAAAAGTAAAACATTGACACGGACGACGGACACCGGACAATCACTCATATGATAAGCTCCGCTCGACAAAGTCGACAGCGAAGCTAAAAAGATGATGCCGGTATATACTATTTGGGCATGGTACGCAATGTTTGACAGATAAATAGGAAGAACATCTTTCAATATACTAATTTCAGCAATATTCTAGGTTAAGTCTCTGTATAGCAGCAGAAAGGATAATACAATATTGCAGTAATATTAAGATTAGACGCCTCCAGAAAAATATGCCGATGACAACAACAACAGACATTTTTCCACTAAAACTTTCCTTTCACTTCATTACAAGGAAGAAGTTGCTTTTCATTGTGCCATTTACATTTCAATGATGTTGTTTTCAATCATATATATAAAATCATTTATTTTCACTGGCATTTTACTATTATCATGATTTGAACAATTTTACGGGGCTTTAAGTTCATGAAGTTTTCAGAGAAACAATAATTTCTTTTGTTATTTTACACGTTCATGTGGATTTAATTTAGTGAAGTTATTCACAAAAATAGCAAAATTTAAAAGCAATGAATAATTAATGAGTTTACAGTGTCTTGCATATTACAACTTTTGTATATTGTCTTACATCACTTTGCATCCACAGCTTTATGTTTATTTATGACTGCATCAAAATTGCATCATTGTTGTAAGATTAGCAAAATATTTATGTTACTACAAAGTTCCATGTTGTTTGCAATTATATTATTTCATTTACAAGGTGGAGTACCATGTACACTTCCCATCTGACAAATGTGTTTTATTTAATAATATAACTGGCAGAAGGTAAAATATTAGTATAGCAACTTCTAAATGTTTTTAAACCAAATTTGAAGTGAGGCACTTATGTATGTAAAGTGTTTTGTGTAATGTTCTAAGAGCAAGCAAAGCTATACCAATCGAATTTACATTTCAATGTGGCTGTGTTAATGTCCATGCAGAAATTTGTCCTATTTTCATACCAAAACATGGGATATAATTGGGAAGTATGAAATACTAGTACAAATTTAACATGTCTCGAAAAAATGGAAACAATGTGAAATGCCAGCAAAATGGTTGAGCAACACAAGTGCAGTTCACCTCAACTTCAGAAAGACTAGCTGTCACAAGATCACTTTGAATTAAGGATGAAACAAGCCATGCATGGCACAGTCCCCGTTAGTTATCAAATTTGAGATATATAGTTTTGTTTATAGTAATATAGCTGGAATATAACCATGTCAAGAATATGATTTTTTTAACATTAAAATGATTGACATTTGTATCTGATCCTCAAACAAGTACTTATCCATATTGAGAGATATTGCTCTGGAACAGCATTCAAAATCAGCCATTTTGAATACAGGTATATATATATATATATATAACATGATGTATAACGAATATATAAAATTTGAATATAATCAGTCAAAGTATTTAAGAGATATGGCTCTAGAAGCCCAATCATTAAAACAAAATGGCCGCCAGTCAGCTATTTTGAATCCAATCTGAAAATAAAATGACATGCATCAGGAACCTGTAATGTCTAACGTGTGTTATAAGTTTGAACAAAATCCATCCATAAATGCAAGAAATGCTTGATATTTGAGGATTTTTTTAGCACAAAAATAGCACACTTTGAAAAAGATCATCAAACCAATATATCCGTATATCTGTGACATGATGTATAATGAATATTAAAAATTTGAACATAATCAGACAAAACAAGTCAGACACATGGGTCTGGAAACCCATTCATTAAAACAAAATGGCCACCAGTCAGCCATTTTGAATCCAATCTGAAAAATAAAATGACGTGCATCAGGAACCTGTAATGTCGAATGTATGTTATAAGTATGAACAAAATCCATCCATAAATGCCAGAAATGCTTGATATTTGATGATTTTTTAGTACAAAAATGACAACCATTCGGCCATTTTGAATAGGATCGTCAAACTAATATATCTATGACATGATGTATAATGAATATTTAAAATTTGAACATAATCAGTCAAAACAATATATTGGAGATATGGCATGAGAACCACATTGATTAATACAAAAAGGCCGCCAGTCGGCCATTTTGAATGTTATCTGAAAAACAAAATTATTTGCATCAGGGTCCCATAATGTCTAATGTATATACCAAGTTTGAGCAAAATCCATCTGTAAACAGCCGAGAAATGGTTGCTTTTTATGATGTTTTAGCACAACAATGGCCGCCATTCGGCCATCTTGAATCAGATCGTAAAACAAAATCATGTGCATCAAGGTCCTATAATGTCCAACGTATACATGTATACAAGGTTTGAACAAAATCCATCTGTAAACAACCGGGAAATGCTCGGTTTTGATGATTTTTAGCACAAAAATGGCCGCCATTCAGCCATCTTGAATCAGATCATGAAACAAATTGACGTGCATATGTATGATATCATGTATGATATATGTGTGAAGTTTGATTGTGATTGGTCCAGGCATTTCTAAAATACAGGTCCGGACGCACACTCGCACGCACGCACGGAGGTCAAAACATAAGTCCCCGTTTTCGGACTGCGTCCAAACGGGGACTAATAATGTGGCTATTGGATGTTACAACAATGCAAATGATTGCCATGCTTTACAGTACTCAAGCAATAAAAATAACTATGGTATGTCCAAGATCAAAAATTTTTGCACATTACAACTTAAATTAATAAAATTTTAATTAAATGAAATATTTATTAATGAATAATAAGACAAGGTTCTCTAATGAATATAGTTTTGAATGGAAGTGTCTCTTCCACATTCATCATTATTTCACCTGTATTTATGTTAGTTCAAATAAACACAATCTGACATTACTAGCTGTTTCTGATAAAAAAGAAAAAATGCGGAGGGTAGAGTAATGCTAAATGGCAGTGAAAAAAAATAAGGAAATTTATAACCAGTAAGGAATTAGTAATAGCAAAGATACTAACAAGACTTACTGAGGCTTGCTCTCTTTGATATAATATCACGAGTCTGTTTTGTGGGAATACCAGGACCAATATCACTAAAATAAAAACAAAACAATAACATGACAGTCATGTAACTGACTATATCACCAACATGCAGAGGTAAAAAAAAAAAAGATTTGAAAATTAATGTTGTTGAAATCCATTTGGTAGTATAACTAATCATGATAGTGAGCCTAAGTATATAGTGCATATACTATTGAGTGAGAAGTCAAAACAATTTCAGTTTTTAAAGTCACCAGTAATTAATTATAAAATTAACAGTTATACCTATAAAACTTGTGAATAATATCATTTAGCAGAAACAAATACCGACTAAAAAACAGGAGAATATAATATGTTTAAATTTGGTGGAAAATTGACTAAAAATAAACATAACATGCATCACTCCATATAGTCTCTTGCAATGCAAATATCTCATTGTTTTATGTACTGCCATTTGATTCTATATTGAAAATAACAAGCAACTTTTCACTGTATGAACAATTCTGCTTTAGAATCTAATATAATTGTAAACTCACCCCATGACTCTTGCCACCACTAGCTCTACTAGCGGTTCTGCTTTAGAATCTAATACAATGTTGTAGACTTCATCAAATGTTGCACCTTGAAGATCTCTACCATTCCATTCCAACACTTCATCTCCTGTAAGTAAATAAATAGTAATTTACATATAATAAACATTCCCCGTCTTTAAAGAGATACAAAACATATTTCAACAACATCACCTGTAATGTAAAATATATTACGCCAATTTTTCCAGGTCACGTTATCATAATACCATCTCCATAGGGATGGCATGGATGGAGTAATGACTCGTCGTTTACGCGGACTTGCCACCAACATCATGCAACATTCCATCATGACAGGCAATGACCATGCAGTCAATTCTTTGAAGTCTATCAAACTCAAACAAACACACACACAAGAGAATTATTTTAATGCGTTTCATCTCAATGTCTCAATTATGCAAATATCTTTGTACTGAACTGCACAGGTGAGTGTAATAGCCTTGCAATAATTGTATCTAATGTAACATATCAAGTACTGTATAAACATTTACATTACATGAAACCATTTGGCTACACTATTTTTTCAGCCAAAATATTAGTGCAACATTTTCTAATTTCTAATATTTTTTATTATTTGATTGATAATCCTGAACCACATAATAATTTTTAATAATAATTTCCAATTGGTTACAGGTTCTGATCAATTCTGTATCATTCTTACAATTTGTGTTATATATCGTTAATATCGTGTTGTAAGTTTTAGGATTGCCAGTGGACTTTTCGTTAGTAAATAAATCCAGAGTTTATTATTAAGTCGTTCTACTGTGGTGATTGGTGCTGATTGTGTAACAGATAATTTTGCATACTAATCTTTGTTATATTTCCATAATCACAATGTATCGTCCCCCACAACATTACAGTATTAGCCTCGGTAGTAGGCAACAGTAAAAAAAAAATATCTAACACATCTAAAAGCTCATTAACAATTTACATTGAAAACATACACTAATTGATAAATTGTCACCACTTAATACATTTACAAGACATGTCATCACATGACAGACTGTCTGTTGTAAACAAGTGAAATGAGTCATTTTGAATCAGAACTTGAAATGAATGCATGTCATTATGTGTGACATGATGTATATTGTAGATGTAAACTTTGACTGCAATCAATCAAGGCATGTCAGAGGTATTTGATAACACAATTTTATTCAGCTATTTTTAACCTGATTTTGAAAAAATTATGTTCAATGTACATGTATGAATCAATAATAGCTGTCCATGTGTGACCAAAATGTTGAGAATATGTTTAAACCAATATAAGAAACAAAATAATGTGCATCAAGGTATTGTGAATAATATTCATTCCAGTTCCAAAATGGAAGAAATGTTTTATTTTGATGCGCAGATAAGTACATGTTTTCAGACTTTGTTCAAACAGGGACTAATTAAGATTTCAAAATGCATGTACTTTTCCAAATTTACATTCAGTCCTTTCTATTGTATACAAATGTTGATATCCAATCTGATAATGAAAATAGAACATTTTATTGTTTCATTACCTAATTTATGCATTTGTGTACAATTTGCATAATTAATGACATCATTCAACAATACCTCCATCAGTCGTACATTTAAAATTTCACAGAACATCAATCCACTGATTCTACTGTCTCTGTTAACATTTGAACACACTATGTAATGACTGGCATAAACACAGTGGTTATGTAAATTACATTTTCAGATATTTCTGACTTCACTAATTCGGCAAATTATAGGTATTAATACAAGTTAACTGATTTGTCAAAAATGTCCACACATGCTTTTTAAACATATCACTATTATAATGTGTTGTGCTTCATTCTGGTATGAAAGAAATCACACTTTCAATGACAAAAGCAGTAATTCATTACAAATTCTGAAATAGAATATTGATGTTATTTAAGTGAAAAAATCCAAAAATAAAAATAAAACAAAAACAAGGTTATGTTCAAAAACTTCAATTTTAATGCTTACAGAAAATATACAAGATGTATTAGGTAAAATGTAATCTTTAATGAGAAATATAGGTTTGAATGAAGACAATTAAATGTTCACTACTACAAACCACAGGAGATATAGAGAATACTGAAGAACACCCTCTAGTGGTCAGTTTAGAAAATATGGTTACATGTCTTGTGACAACACAGTACAGTTTTTATCCCAAGTAAAGTGCATTTTTGGGTAATTCACTCACAAGTTTCAGTTTGGCATCTTGATATTGTCTTCGTACAAAGTTTGCATATCCAAGAAATACATTCAAACACACTGATCTGTTTTCGGAATTCATCCTTATTCAAATTAATTTGATGAGGCATTATGTTAAAGTTACAATTTGACACAGGAAGCGGAAAATGTTTTTATTATCTTACCTGCTCGCAGGTGACCCACAGTGTCAGCTATACTGCCTTTTTTGACTTTTGTGATAAATGCTCCCTTTTTACCAATTTCTGTCATCTTTCCACCAACAACCTTCAGTCCTAATATTGCACTTGAGTCCCGTGGTTGTGTCCCATCATGAGTCACTTTTTTCAGAATCATATGACCAATGAGTCTGTTGTTGTCAAGATCTGGTTGCCAAGTAACTGGATGCTAAAAAATTAATCCCAAAAACATGACGCTATAGTCATAAGAAATTCAGTAATAAAATATACAGAGTTCAATTATTCATATGTGCAATGTTCAAGGTGCAATTTATTCAAATACTCGCGTGTTCGATGCATTCAAATACTCGCGTGTTCGATGCATCCAAATACTCGCGTGTTTTAAACTGGTCACCATATTTAACAACTGTTTCTGAGGTTTACACTCAAATCTGAATGGGCGTAGGCAATCCTCAATAGGTCTTGATTGTATACAGCACCACCAGTGGCTGTTCCTGGCTCAATGCGTAAAGCAGGCACAAAACAGCAAGCGGCAAACATTTGTTTATAATAAAAATACAAAGGCATAACAGGCAAAACAGGTTTACTACTTGTAAACAGATGCTCAAAAAAGTAGGTAGACAACTGGGCGATGATGTTACAAATCATTGTTGCCCTGTAATATCAAAACACTG